ACAGTAGGATCACGTGTGCTGGTCCCTTCTATAGTTCTGCTCGCAACAGCTGGAATGAAACCAGCACCTATAATATTGCTACCAGCACCAGTTGTGTGAGTTAATAATGCATCATGTGCCTTGATCACTTGCAAGTCTGCTGCCCCGAAATTTGTCTTAGTATAGCCAATGTCTATTGCAGCAACTGCTGCATTCTTTGTGATATTAATTCGTCCCTTTTTGAGACCAGACCTTGTAGAGCTACAAGTTGCTGCACCAACCGTTTCAACAGCTGAAATTGGATCACAAGTAGCTGTTGTCTCACCTGTTGTGTGCTTAATGACAGCAGCCTTTTCCACCTCCTCACCGATTGGATCAGCAGCTGAAGGCACCTCTTTTGTTCCGTTTCCAGCAACACAATGATGCTCCATGTTTCTAGCACCTACTTCTCGTGGCTGGTTCAAGACAGCAGCTGAATCAGTGGCTTCCTCCATGTACAGACCATCAGTTGCTGTACCATGCAGGCCAGCATTGTTAGCATCATGTGCACTAGCAGCTGCTGCACCATCTGAGTGTCTTGGCTATCCATTCTCTGCATGACAGCATGCCGCATTAGCATGTCATATACAATTACATTTAGAGCAATACAAGGGAAGTTTATCAAATTCAAAGAAAACATAGAACGCATAACCCTCCCTTTCCACCAATAGCTGTGTGGGAATTTGGTTCGAGAGGTCTAATTCAATCAAGACTCTAGCAAAATGTCCATATGTCCGATTCAATGTAGCTTTGTCCAAGGAAATTGGGGTCCCCACGGTTGAGGCAATGGCAAGAAGGATTCTTGGACTCCAATATTCTTGAGGCAACTCCATTATGCGCAACCATACTTGAGCAAACTTATTCTTGTAGTTTATTGGGTTGAAATCCGGCTTCCAAAGGACAACCTAAACAATCCCGGGTCCAAGTTCCATGGACCAGCCGCAAGAACCACTCCAAGATCATGTGAATTCTAGAATTCTAACTCAAAGAATCCCCTCCCTAGGGAGATGACCATCCATCCAGCAATGTGGCTCCATAGCTTGGTGAGTTTGTCTATCAACTCCACCGTTTTGATTAGTTTTTGGCCTTTAGCCAAGAGGACTCGTCCATGTAAATGCTTGGAGCACCTTGTAAGTCCTTCTTGATATGCATCTTCAAGAATCTTGATTGCAAGAGACTCCCCTTTCCAGCAAGGCTTAGGTAGAGTGGTGAGGTTTGGAGTTATCGAAGAGGTGACAATCTTTGCAAAGGAAGTCTTTGGATGATAACTTTGACTTGGTGGAGTGCCAAGGCAGGTCCACGGGCAAGAGAACTTGTCCCCCATGCCTAAGCATGGGTGAGAAGGAGGACTCCTATGTTCTTGGAGAGTTCTTGGAGAAAACCTCAAAAGTGAATTTTGTACATGTAGATACCTCAAAATTAGTTTATTTACAAGTCAAAAATAAAATTTTAAAAAAACTAATAGGAGAAAAATTTTACAAATTAGTTTATGCATAAGCTAACTTTAACTTATAAGATTTTCCTTCATATTTTTTTCTTAGAACTGTTTTTGAATAAGTTTACATAAACAGATTTTATGTCCCGAGCAACACGAGAGTTTTGAGATGCAACTAATAACTAGTACCCTATATATATATAATCTAAGGTGCCACTTGTGTGCCCATTTATACTAATATATAAAAAAGAATACTCTTTTTAGTAACTACCTTTAGTCTCCACATTTAGTAAATCATTATACCCTTCTATTATTAAAAAAATAAAAAAAGTAATAATAATTTTTATAGTAACTACCATTCTCTTTTAATAACTATCCATTATATTATTTTTATTACTTAACTACCTTTATTATTTAATATTAATTTTATTTTTAAATTTTTTAGATTAAATATAGAGGTTCGAAGTGTTTCGATCTTATTAATAATGGTGTTCAAAATCGAACAACCCAAACAAAAAATCACAAATTGATCCAAAAAACTAAAAACTAATAAAAATTTATAAATTATCTGTTTGGTTTGGTTTTAAAATTTCTAAAATCATGTGATTTGGTTCATTTTTTTTATTAGAATTTAAAACCCCTTCAAATAAAATAAAATCACACTTATTTGTAAATATATATTTTATTGAATGTATACAAAAAATGACACGTAACATATAAGATGTTTTATAAAATTGTAAGTTATTAAACTAAATTTTAGAATAAAAATCACAATCATTTATAACATTCAAAAATATTTTTTTAAGTGACAAAGTATATATATAAGAAGAAATATTTAATATGATAACTAAAATAGTATTAAATAAATGTTTTTACTAAAATAATAAGATAAAAATTGGTGTTAAGTATATTAAGTGACTAAAATATTTTAGTATTTGTATACTTTTAGTTTTATTTTTTAAGTACAATTTTAAGCAAATAACATAATATTATAAATTTCTAGTTAATTTTTAAATAAAAAAATTTAAAATTGTAAAAATTGAACTAAACCATACTATAAAAAATTGGTTTGGTTTAGTTTGAATTTTATAATTTATTCAAATTAAATCACACTTAATTTTCTTATTTAATTCAAATGGTTTTTAAGGCAAAAATCAAACCACAAACACCCCTATATAATATATATAAAATAAATTTTTATTTATAATTTTCATTAATAAATGTATAAATATATTCTTAATAACAAAACAAAAATATTTCTAAACATTTTACAACACACGTTTCATAAACTTTCATTGAAAATGAACTAATCCAAACATATTTTCAATTCTTTTATTTCCTGAAAAAAACAAAAAAAGCTGTCTAGTTAAAAATATTTTTTAAATATTAAAAATTTAAAAAATGAAACACAGGAGCCGAAAATAAGAGATACATAATTTATTACTTTTTTCTAAATTTGTAATTCAAACTAAATGCTAATTTAGATTAAACCACGAAGAAGCTTTTCGAATTAACAAAAAAAAAAACCACGAAGAAGTTGTTGGGAAGGTCTAAATTTGGAAAAATACTTGTATTTAAAAAAAATTAGTTAAAAAGAGGATCATAATAAAAGTGGTTAATTAGGAACTTTGATGAAATTAGTCATTAATAAAATCGTTAAATATTTTATAATAATAATCTAATTATAAAATAAATTATGTGTAAAAGTATTTTGAAAGTTAAGAGATAAAATAGTTAACAAAATGTGTATAATAAAAAAATATGTCACCTTTGTTAATATTTATTAATAGTATAAATATAAATTACTATTAATCCGTTGGAATTTTTTAAATTACACCTTTCTTTAAAAATGATTTTATAAGCAAGTTGTTTAAGATTTTCCCAAAATACAAAGTATTTCTTTTTTAACTATAAAAAAGTATGTTTTGAAAGAAACTTTAACCGAAAAGAATATCTTTTACTGTTTTTCACAAGTCAAATATAACATTAAATTAAAAATAATAAATTTTAAGCATGGTCCTTAACAAAAGACACATTTATACTTTTCTTTAAAATAATCAAAATACAAGATTCACACAAAATACATATAATAAATGAATAAAATGTTATTTTAATCTCCAAACAAATATTATTTACTTTTAGTCCCCGAAACTTTTTTACATAAACAAATTTTTTTGACATGACTCAAAATTTTGACAAAAAAAAAATCAAAAACTAAAAGTAAAAATTAATAAAAGTTGAAGAACTTAAATTAGTAAAAATTTTGTTAAAGACTTAAAAACAAAAATTGAGAAAAAACATATTTAATTCTAAAGGTTTAATTACAGTTTTGATCCCTCAAGTATTGTAATTATGCAATTTTGATCTTTAGAGTTTTAATTAAGTAATTTTAGTCCTTAAAGGATTGAAGTTGTGCAATTTTAGTCCTTCAATTTTTAATTGAACAATTTTAGTCCCTCAAATATCATAATTGTGCGATTTTAATCTCTCTTATTAAAAATTTAATAATTTTAAAATTTTAATATATATATATATATATATAATATTTTAAAATTATACAATTATTTACTTATTTAA